GCATTAATTTTTATTAAATGTTTGGATAAGTCGGGCTTATACAATTAAATTCCCTAAACTCTACAATGAATAGGTACCTATAAAATCAAATTTATTTATATATATAGTGCAGAGTGAGATTAAAAGTAACAGTCGCCACGGAGGCACCTGAAAGGTGTAATATTTGTGTAACTAAACAAATAAATTTATAGAGTATATATTATAAACAATAATTATAGGTTAATTAATAGGAGGTGAGATACTTATGATTTTAATAAAGGAAAGTGGGGGGGCCCCCTACGGGGCAGAAGAGACCGGCTCCATCCACACGCCAGGCCTCAAGTGGAAGACTTGCCAGCTAACTTGTTCCTTCCCCCTTGAAGATGGGATATGCAAAGTAGGATTGTGATATACACCATTTGAAGGTGGTATGGGATGAGTATTCTCTGCACCAACTGTATATAATGTTGATAGCTGCTATATTACTCGTGGAATTAAGGATTAGGTAGGTGTTAGTTAGAGCTAGGCTTTCTTATGATTATATGAATGTAAATAGAATTACTTATATAGCGAAATATTATAATTTCGCTATGTAAGTAATTCTATTAATGAGATATTAGAAGCGAGGACTATAAGTCCCAAATCTAAATAGAGATGTCTTGATGATCCACATAATGAATCAACCAGAGGATAATGTTTAATTTATAGAGGGACTGCACGTCCAGATATAGTAATCAGTAGAATTTGATTAATCACATAATGAAATAATCGAAAAGATATAGATAATTGTATTAGAGGTCTGTGACCTGGGTTATTGTGATATAGAAACAACCACTAGGTGGATAGTGGATATGATATGATGTCGATAAAATAAATTAAAAAAAGAAATTATAGAGGACTGTAGTCCGTAGAAAAGAGATGTAAAGGCCAAGGCCTGGTAATTATGAAAATGATTAGCCACAAGATGGACAGTCATAAGATAAATATATATTGATTGAGGACCGAAGCCCATAGATATAATTATATATATAAATAAACTAAAGGACTCTTAAAAGAGTCTTAATACAGTTAACTTGAGCAACACTGAAGTAATTGGTATTTGTTAATAAGGCCAAAAGACCTTAAAATAAACCTTTTGTTTGATTTAATTTACTTGAAATAAATATATTAATTAATAAAGAACCGAAGCTCAATAATAATTGATAGGAGAAATAAAGACATAATAATATTATGACTTGTATATACATATGGTTGCTTATGTATTTAAATATATTCAAAGAATCTTTTTTTTATATTTATATTTTAATTTTGATAATATATCGGCCACGTGAATCTCTAGTTGCCCAATGGGTGACTGATAGAAAATGCCTGGAAGTGTTAAGTCCACCATATACTCCTCGATTTGTATACAGTAGTACATTGAAGTTTTATTATATATATATATCACGTATTTAATTAGTAAATGATATAGTGATTTGATACTAAAAGAGTACGTCAACCCTACGTCTTATACCGTATCTTGAAAATCTCCATATTTATAATACGAATTGGACGCTGGACGAAGCACAGTGTACCGCATCATGGGTATCAGACAACTGATGTAAATACCTAGATAACACATACATAACGTACATAGAAACACCCAGACTGTACATACTCGCGAACACCAATACATGCGCCGTGCGAGGAATCGAACCCGCAACCATAGGTAACAACAAGGTTTACGCCAAACCACTACACTTCCGAAATCATCAAGTCTTATTATAACTCCCATATCTAACAATCAAACAAAGTCTAGATTATGGCCCCAAGTCAAACTAATATGTCACTGTGTATAACAAGCCTATTATGTACAATTATATATTTAAGTGAAACTAACACATCCCAAATATTATATTCTCAATATATTTTAGACCACTTTCATTTAAAGTAAAATAATTATCAAAACACTTACCGCTTTGCTTGACGGGAACAACTAATAAAATACCTGTTTCACTTATTGACCACTCCAGATAATAAACACTTGTAAAACCTGAATAAAATAATTTAATAACACTAACATGCACACAGTAACACAACAATAGAAAATAATAAAAATATCCACATATCGTAATTGATGAATATATCTACATAATAATTTACATGTAGCATACCAACATGAATTTGAACGGTCTCCTATAAGCTTACTTATAATTAATATTAATAAACCTGGACCACACAGCGTCACCCTACCCAAGGCAAGCGAAGCCGCATCATGGGTATCAGACAACTTATATAAATACCTTGAAACTTTTTTCTTTGTAACCACATACATAACATACATAGAAATACCCAGACTGTACAAACATACATACACGTGAACACTAATACATGCGCCGTACGAGGAATCGAACCCGCAACCATAGGAAACAAGTTCGCGCCAAACCACCACACCTCCGAAATCGTCAAGTCTTATTATAACTCCCATGTATAACAATCAAACAAAGTTTACATTATGGCCCCAAATCAAACTAATATATCACTATGTTTAATAAGTCTATTATGTACAATTATATATTTAGGTGAAACAAACACATCCTAAATATTATATTCTCAATATATTTTAGACCACTTCATTTAAAATAAAAGAATTATTAAATCACTTACCACTATGCTTGACGGGAACAACTTATCGACCACTCCAGGACTTATTTTTTTATTCTTTTCTTTTTTTATTTTTCTTTTTTTATTATTATTTTTTTTTTATTCTTTTTTCTTTTTTTTATCCTTTTTTCTTTTTTTATTCTTTTTTCTTTTTTTATACTTTTTTCTTTTCTTTATTCTTTTTTCTTTTCTTTATTCTTTTTTCTTTTTTTTATTCTTTTTTCTCATTTTTATTCTTTTTTCTTTTTTTTACTCTTTTTTCTTTTTTTTATTCTTTTTTCTTTTTTTTATTCTTTTTCTTTTTCATTTTTTATTCTTTTTTCTTTTTTTATTCTTTTTTCTTATTTTATTATTTTTTCTTTTTTTATTCTTTTTCTTTTTTTATTATTTTTTCTTTTATAATCTTTTTTCTTTTTATTATTCTTATTTCTTTTTTTATACTTTTTTTCTCTTTTTTTTAATTAAATACATAAATAATTTACATAGTAAAACACACAATTTATAGAAAAGGAAATAAATACTTGTAAAACACTAAAATGCACACAATAACACAACAATAGAGAATAATATAATTATCCACATGTAGTAATTGATGAATATATCTACATAATAATTTACATTCACACAGCGTCACCCTACCCAAGGCAAGCGAAGCCGTGTCATCGGTATAAGACAATTGACATAAATACCTAGAATCTTTTTTCTTTGTAACCACATACATAACATACATAGAAATACCCAGACCGTACAAACATACATACACGCGAACAGCAATACATGCGCCGTGCGAGGAATCGAACCCGCAACCATAGGAAACAAGTTCGCGCCAAACCACTACACCTCCGAAATCATCAAGTCTTATTATAACTCCCATGTATAACAATCAAACAAAGTTTAGATTATGGCCACAAGTCAAACTAATATATCACTATGTTTAATAAGCCTATTATGTATAATTATATATTTAGGTGAAACAAACACATCCTAAATATTATATTCTCAATATATTTTAGACCACTTTCATTTAAAGTAAAATAATTATCAAAACACTTACCGCTATGCTTGACGGGAACAACTAATAAAATACCTGTTTCACTTATTGACCACTCCAGGAAATAAACACTTGTAAAACCTGAATAAAATAATTTAATAACACTAACATGCACACAGTAACACAACAATAGAAAATAATAAAAATATCCACATGTAGTAATTGATGAATATATCTACATAATAATTTACATGCATACCAACATGAATTTGAACGGTCTCCTATAAGCTTACTTATTATTAATATTAATAAACCTGGACCACACAGCGTCACCCTACCCAAGGCAAGCGAAGCCGCGTCATGGGTATCAGACAACTTATATAAATACCTTGAAACTTTTTTCTTTGTAACCACATACATAACATACATAGAAATACCCAGACTGTACAAACATACATACACGCGAACACCAATACATGCGCCGTGCGAGGAATCGAACCCGCAACCATAGAAAACAAGTTCACGCCAAACCACTACACCTCCGAAATCATCAAGTCTTATTATAACTCCCATGTATAACAATCAAACAAAGTTTACATTATGGCCACGAGTCAAACTAATATATCACTATGTTTAATAAGTCTATTATTATGTACAATTATATATTTAGGTGAAACAAATACATCCTAAATATTATATTCTCAATATATTTAAAGTAAAAGAATGATTAAATCACTTACCACTATGCTTGACGGGAACAACTTATCGACCACTCCAGGACTTATTTTTTTATTCTCTTTTCTTTTTTCTTTTTTTTATTCTCTTTTCTTGTTTTTATTATTTTTTTCTTTTTTTTTTATTCTTTTTTCTTTTTTTTATTATTTTTTCTTTTTTTTATTATTTTTTCTTTTTTTTTATTCTTTTTTTTATTCTTTTTTCTTTTTTTTTATTCTTTTTTCTTTTTTTATTCTTTTTTCTTTTTTTATTATATTTTCTTTTTTTATTCTTTTTTCTTTTTTATTCTTTTTTCTTCTTTTATTCTTTTTTCTTTTTTATTCTTTTTTCTTTTTTTATTCTTTTTTCTTTTTTTATTATTTTTTCTTTTTTTATTATTTTTTCTTTTTTTATTCTTTTTTATTTTTCATTCTATTTTTATACTTTTTTTCTCTTTTTTTTTAATTAAATACATAAATAATTTACATAGTAAAACACACAATTTATAGAAAAGGAAATAAATACTTGTAAAACACTAAAATGCACACAATAACATAACAATAGAGAATAATATAATTATCCACATGTAGTAATTGATGAATCTATCTACATAATAATTTACATTCACACAGCATCACCCTACCCAAGGCAAGCGAAGCCGTGTCATAGACAATTGACATAAATACCTAGAATCTTTTTTCTTTGTACCCACATACATAACATACATAGAAATACCCAGACCGTACAAACATACATACACACGAACACCAATACATGCGCCGTGCGAGGAATCGAACCCGCAACCATAGGTAACAAGGTTTACGCCAAACCACTACACTTCCGAAATCATCAAGTCTTATTATAACTCCCATATCTAACAATCAAACAAAGTCTAGATTATGGCCCCAAGTCAAACTAATATGTCACTGTGTATAACAAGCCTATTATGTACAATTATATATTTAAGTGAAACTAACACATCCCAAATATTATATTCTCAATATATTTTAGACCACTTTCATTTAAAGTAAAATAATTATCAAAACACTTACCGCTATGCTTGACGGGAACAACTAATAAAATACCTGTTTCACTTATTGACCACTCCAGAAAATAAACACTTGTAAAACCTGAATAAAATAATTTAATAACACTAACATGCACGCAGTAACACAACAATAGAAAATAATAAAAATATCCACATATCGTAATTGATGAATATATCTACATAATAATTTACATGTAGCATACCAACATGAATTTGAACGGTCTCCTATAAGCTTACTTATAATTAATATTAATAAACCTGGACCACACAGCGTCACCCTACCCAAGGCAAGCGAAGCCGCATCATGGGTATCAGACAACTTATATAAATACCTTGAAACTTTTTTCTTTGTAACCACATACATAACATACATAAAAATACCCAGACTGTACAAACATACATACACGTGAACACTAATACATGCGCCGTGCGAGGAATCGAACCCGCAACCATAGGAAACAAGTTCGCGCACCTCCGAAATCGTCAAGTCTTATTATAACTCCCATGTATAACAATCAAACAAAGTTTACATTATGGCCCCAAGTCAAACTAATATATCACTATGTTTAACAAGCCTATTATGTACAATTATATATTTAGGTGAAACAAACACATCCTAAATATTATATTCTCAATATATTTAAAGTAAAAGAATTATTAAATCACTTACCACTATGCTTGACGGGAACAACTAATAAAAGAATTAAAAAATCACCTCTTTCTGTTTCTTCAGGTGATGGATTCTGTCAAAAAATGTTAAAATATGATTTTAATACTTAATTTGCAAATTTTGTCTTATTTTTATTATTGTTACAATAAATTTTTCTATCTGAAATATAAATAACCATTTGCCATGATTACACGAACTAATTTTTGTTAATTATTAAGTACTGATATAAACAGCTATCATTTGCTACCCATTTATAGTAACAGTTATTACTAAAAAGTAATAATAGTTATTACTAAATTAAAATAAATTTTACATTTTGTTTATATAATATACGCTAACATTCCTATGTAAAAAATATACTGTGTTTTTTTAATTTCTAATCAATTCCTACCAATAATAAAATAACTTATGCTTTTAAATACAATAATTACTAGAAATCTGATTCTCTAAATTTTAAGCTGTGGTATATAGCAACGCAACAAAGCCGAGGTACAGACAGTCGCGAATACTACAATACTGTTTTAAATGTGTTAACTACTCACACATACACACCTACCGAGTAGAATTTTGATTTGAGTTTCTAACGCATTTTCGGCTTCTATTTACAATTATTTTGTTTCTCAAATAATCAAGTTGTTGGTAATTTATTCAATGTTTAATTAACGAAATAAAGTCTTAAAACTTTGTTGAATTGTTTAAAATCAAATATAATTTTCGAACTAAATATTTTTAATATCCCTACATATATTATGTGAACAGCCACATGCTCACCTTTGTAGCTTGTGTCGTGATGTCGTCGTGATCGATCAGCGACCTCACCCGTTCGTTCGATGCGCATTAGCATCTTCTGCAGCCTTGATTTACTTCCTGTCCTTAGAGTGAAGCAGAGGCTAACCGATAGTGATCGGTTTACTGCTGGTATGAATATACCGTTCGTGGTATAAACGACGGCAACTCTGTAAATGTACATTATCCATCAATAGCCATGTTTCCTAAAAAAAATGTTTCGTAGAACACAATCACTATTATGAGAATCTTCTCAATAAGTCTTGAATCCTTAAGAGATCAAACACATATATTAGGATGGTAGGGGTAAAGTCGATTTTTTCAAAATATAATATATTTATTTAATCAAAGTCTGTATTATTGCTATTTATGCACTTTTATATGCCATATTGATCCTTTTACTAAAAAACTATTCGGACGGGAATCAATAAAATTTTTGAACGCGATTTAGACTGCCCCATCTGAGTTGAAATTTTTGCAAGAAGTCATCCAAATTTCGACAAAAATGGTATTATGTTGGTACAAGGTCCGGGAAGTACGGTGGATGTCTTAGACACCACAACACCAATTGAGCTGTTCTAATTTGGTAACTGTCTGTTGTGCAGTGATTGGTCTAGCGTTGTCCTGAAGAAGCAGTGACCTACGGCGATTGACCAGCCTCAGTTGTGTAGCAAGTAGCTTTACCATCATGGTCTACAATTGCTGGCAATACACATCCACCGTAATCGTCTGGCCAGATTTAAGAAAGCTGAAGTGAACAACACAGGCACTAGTCCGCCAAACGCTCACAAGTAACTTTTTTGTGTCATTTTTCGCTTAGAGCAGGATTTCGCTAGTTCGCCAAATCTCAGCCATTGCGATGAGCTTTTCCGATTATCGTACAAGATCTATCTGCTTTTCATCACAGGTAATGATTCGATTTAAAATCCTTTCATTATTATGCCAGGTGACAAATTTAATGCAGCAGTCTACGCGCGTTTGTCGATTTGCTCGAGCTTTTTCACCTTCCCAATTGGCTTCAATTAAAACTCTTTGGACTCCGGCTGCCCACGGGGCTTGTTTTGCAGGTAGAAATTTTCAGAACGAAAACGTTGGAACTAAAAAGTGACTGTTTTTTTTTGCGACACTACCACCATACACGTCATTAGTCCTTCGAGACGTTTCTGCAGTACTGATGCCACGGCGGAACTCGTACTTATAAATAGCGTGATATTTTAAGATTTCCATTTTGTAAACTAAAGATGGAAAAAACATATGGATTACGGTTTTCGAACAACAAAAGTAAATAGCTATACAAATTTGAAATTGGAATTCCTAACCAAAAAGGAGATATTTGAGATCAAAGTAGCCAGTACGACAATTTCATATGTTAAACACTTCTATTCTGTATCTCAACTATCATTGCAAGCTCCCAGGATCTTGAAGAAGTAGACCTAAACCTACCCTAACCTGAATGGATATGTTAAAGATCCACCCCACCCCCTTAAAATTGTGTACAATAATGACATCCATTAGGATGAGGTAAGAACTCACCTTTGTTTGCACGTGTCGTCGTATATTTCGATTCTCAGGTGTATCTGTTTTGTATTTTTTCACTGAAGTGTTTACAGTAAATCTAAGGCCTCCTCACAACTATGAGGATATGCGTGGTGCCATTGTGGGTGGTTGGCTTCCTTGAAAAATATAAACTATAACATAAACTAATTGTTACATATTTTGCGGAAAAGTAATGTTAAAAAATGACATCAATTAGGATGAAAGAACTCACCTTTGTTTGCACATGGAGTATTATAATTCGATTCTCAGGTATATCTGTTTTGTATTTCTTCAGTGAAGTGTTTGTAGTAAATCTAACACATCCTCACAACTATGAAGATGTGTGTGAATAGGTGGTCATGTGTGATGTTGGCTTCCTTAAAAAAAATATAACATAAACTAATTGTTACATATGTTGTGGAAAAGTAATGTTAAAAATTACATCAATAAGGATGAAGTTAGAACTCACCTTTGTTTGCCCATATCACAGCTGTGTAATTCGAACCGACCTGAACGAATTACTAATTCGAACGAATACACCTGGTATTTGTTTTGCATTCCTTCAGTGAAGTGCTTGTAGTAAATGTAACGCAATACTCCTCACAACTATGATGATATGCGTGGTATCACTGTGAGTGGTGTGTGTGCAAGTGAGATGTTTTTGAGCCTTGAAAAATAAAATATAGTCTAAACTAATTGTTTCACTAAAAATAAGTAATTTAAATTCACATTCAAATAAACTTACTGGAGTAATAAAATAGCCACATAATGAACTGGTACAGAAACATATGAGTAATTCTGTCCAACGTGCAACATTCATCGTATCATTAAAGTGATAATATTATTTGCCTTATCCCATTGATCTGAAGGTCGGCGGAACCATTCGCCTGCTCGATGTCAATCCTGTTTAGGAATAACTTACTTAATTACTTGGATGTAGGTTCTTCACAGAGACAAATAGTTATAATACATTTAAAAATAGAATAAGCTTTTTGTGTATTAACGAACCGTTAGAATTAGGAAGGCAAGAGTTGACCATTCTATTTAGATACAATAACTATATTTAAGATAATTTAGCAATACGGTATTTTTAAACAAAAGTTGAAAATATAATGTTCATAAAAACTAACACGTAATTGGAAATTTTAATTACTATCAAAGGACTATAATTTTTTATATTATTATATTATACTTACTTTCAGCTCCCATAATTTGGCCATAATGGATTTCTCCTTGAATTCTTCCGCCTTTTTCTTCACTTTCTTCCATTTTTCTTGGGTGTGGTCTCGAACACATTTACATCAAGAAGGGAAAAAGAAAACACAACACCGAAGGAAACAAAAAGACAGAAAAGACAAAAGAACAGAGAAAGAATAGCTCACATCAAAAGAAACAAAATAAAGTAAAAGGAGAGGAAGAAAACAAGAGGAAAAACAAACGAGCAGGGCAAGCCAGCGATTCCTCACATACCCAGAAGCATCGACTTTTGTCGAAGATTTAGGGAGCGAACTTTCCTTCTAAGATCGCGGCTCGTCCTACCCGTGTCCGATTATTAGCCAACCAAGTAAGAACAACTCTCAAGAGCTGTCATTAGTCGGTGCCCATGGTGCAATCCAAGTCATTACCTGACTGCCGAGTTCCACGTGGACGTATCCACGAGGAAAAGCAGCCCTGAAATGACGTAAGCCATTCCCAACACCACAACCTGTGCCTCTAGTGATAAAACTTTTCGTTTACATATTTGTTATTGCTACTATTTGTTGTTTTTAAAGAAACAGAAAAGTTTGTTTATTTCAAGTAACCTTAAAAAGGTAATAGCTATACCTGGAATTGTAGTCTTTCTCGCTAGAGGCACAGTAATTTATATATAAACTGTCACACATAAATTGACTAATCAAATAGCACTCTGTTTCCATTTCGACTTAATTATTTTTTTAAAATAGGCGTTCTTTGTTCAATCAAATAATATTTGTTCATACAGAACCTTTCGGCCCGTTATATGAATCATACTATTCTGTTACTTTGTACTTATGTGAATGTGTGAAAGTTTATGCAATCTTATTATTACAGCATTAGCCCACAAAATATATATTTTTGTATATTCTCTGTAGTGTTGTGTGTTGCATATAGTGTAAATAACAATAAAAACATTTGAATATATGGTACATTTGCAATTTACGCTTGCGTAGCATATAAAAACATCTGAATAAAAAGACACATTTGAATAAAGACACATTTGAATAAAGACACATTTGAATAAAAGACACATTTGAATAAAAGACACATTTGAATAAAAGACACATTTGAATAAAAGACACATTTGAATAAAAGACACATTTGAATAAAAGACACATTTGAATAAAAGACACATTTGAATAAAAGACACATTTGAATAATAATAATAGGAAGGTGATATATTTCATGTACATTATACAGATCATAATATAGCATAGCAATAATCATGTAAGACTGAATCCCTAATATCATTTCAAATTGGCTAATAAAAACATCATGCTTTAGCCATTTTTTGATTTTATCCAGACGTTCCAAACAATAGTCATTATAGATAAATGGTAATACTTGGCATTTTGAGGGGTACCAGTTGCATCGGATGACCTGCTTTAACCCATGTCCTTTATATACTGCATATCGCAAGTACCCTGATATCCATAACAAACAGACAAACATCAATATTAAAAAAATCCCTAATTTGTTTTCAAATGCCATTACTATCTTCCATGCCGAGCCATCAAATTATCTCTACGTAATTGTAAAAATATTTTAATTATGTATAGGATAAGTAAGTCGTCCACTTTTACTAACGGCTGATCTCCGCCATAGGTTCCTCATCCTTTTGTCCCATGGTGCGATGCTGCCGGCGCCAAGTTTTCCACGAATGTTGCCAAAATAGCGCAGATATCTTACAACAAAAAACGTTAAGTTCTTTGAGGGGCTGAAATTCTTAGGCTCAAGTCGACGGAGGAAATATTTACTTTTTAACCAACTCAACATTTCAATATAGAAATTATATTTTATTAACAACACTAGCTTTCTAGCTTCTGTAGTAAGTAAGTCTCACTGGGATCCTCTGATCATTGTCTGATACGGAGCGAAGTGCCTTTCACGCATACTTCTTTGCCGCAATCTACTGGTCGACGTCGTGTTTGGCATTTTAAGTTGGCAGATTGGGATGAGATGCGAAGTTTTTTTGCATCTTACCCATGGGGGCGAGTTTGCTTCGCACTGGACAATCCTGATGTAATAGCTGAATCTGTCACCGAGGTTCGATTCTGTCGAATTCCCAGGTACCTGTCGGTGGTAGATCTCAGTCCTGGTATAGCGGATCCTGTAGATCGGCGTCTCGCCATAAGCAGAAATGCTTCCGTGACTGGATTGCAGCTGTGAAGTCGAGTGATCCAGAAAACAGTGCCCTTAAAAGGAAGTATAACTCCGCTTCCAGGTCCTTCAAAAGTGTTATAGCCCCAGCAAATTCGAAGCACATCAGCAGAATTGGTAGGAGACTGAACAGTCTTCCATCCCGGGTTTTTTGGTCTCTTGCCAAAATTGCTCAGGGAAATTTCTGTCAGCCATCTTTTCCACCACTGCGCAGAGCGGATAACTCGCTGGCCAAATATGCCAAAGAGAAGTCCGATCTCCTTGGCTTTCTTTTTGCATCCAACCACTAGACGATACCGCAATCACCGCCGGTCATCTCGCGGTGTGAGATTTTATGCCTGAGGTAAAATTTACCCAAAAGCTGATACGTAAGTCTCTTTTCTCCCTAGACAACCATAAGTCGAGTGGGCCTGACGGTTTTTCCGCTATTGTGCTCGGGACGTGTGCACCTGAGTTGGCTCCGGTAGTAACGCGAATTTTTGGTACTGCTACTCTACAGATGTAGTCCCGAAACTTTGTAAGACGGCTTTGGTTCACCCGATCTCTAAGAAAGGGAGATCTCAGATCCAGCTAACTATAGGCCCATAGCCATAACCTCCTTATTCTCAAAGGCCATGGAGTCGATTGTTAACCGTCAACTCCTCAACTCCGTATGCCGGATCGAATTCAGTCCACCACGACTCCGACGGCGGTGGCTCACTATATAGCGGGCCCCATCTCTGTGGATTCCCTATGGAACCTACCACTTCCCCCGTCTTCCCTGGGAACTGCGTGCGGGGTCAACTCTTACGATCCCAAGAAGTGAACCAGTGGATTTCTGATTGTCAGTATGGCTTTCGCCAGGGTCGCTCAGCTGGTAATCTTCCAGTGTATATGACACATCGATGGGAAGTGGCTATTGAGAGTAAGAGGTTATCTATCAGTTAGTCTGGATATTGCGAAGGCCTTTGATCGGGTTTGGCTCAAAGCTCTTCTTTCAAAGCTTTCAAAGCCATCCTTTGGGTTGAATGCGAAGTTATACAAATGGGTCGCCAGCTTTCTAGCTGATCAGAGCAGAGCAGATCAAGATCGTTGTCGATGGTCCGATTCACATTTTGTGAATGCTAGTGTTCCTCAGGGCTGTGTGCTATCTTCGCCTCCGTTCCTTCTGCATATCAATGACATATTATAAATCAACAACATTCATTGCTATGCAGATGACAGTACTGGAGATACTTTGTACAGCGACCATGCTAATATGTCGAAGGCAAAAGTTATAGAGTACCGGAACAAACTTGTGTCTGCAATTGAAACTTCACTCCATCAAGTTTCTCTTTCGGGTCAGTCGACCATTGGTGTTGAGGTTTTATGTACAATTCTTTTTTATGTCAATATTTTAAAAAGAGAGAATGTTGTATTTTTTTGTGTCAAATTAGATATTTAGAAATTTTTGCAATAAATATACTTTTTCTATTCAGCTTTTCTATTAGTATTTTCTTTTCCTAAAACGAGCCATCCACATACTGGCGACCGTGACAGGACGGTATACTGGTATTTAAAATGGAAAAGATTAAGGCAGAGAGGACATTAGCGCGTCATAGGTTCTCATTGTGTGCTCAAAAGTTGGAAGGGCTATTGGAGAGCAACGACGAATTTATCCCAGCCGAGTTTGAGAAGCTAAATAAATTATTCGACATACACTGACGCAGAATAAAATTGTTAGTGTATGGCTCGATGATGATAACCGTGATGAAGAACAATTCAATAAAGACATCGATGAAGCGGATATCTATGACTCACGTTACTATATGTTGAAGCAAAAGGCAAGTAAATTTTCTATTTCTCCACCGAAGTCAGCTGTCAATGAAATAGAAGAAAGTCAGTTGTCGTCAAAAACAAATGGCAATAGACACTTTCACCTTCCAAAGCTTGAACTTCCGAGGTACAATGGGGAGATCAGGAATTGGTTGAGGTTCTGGTCCCAGTTCAAATGGATACACCTTGATAACCAGATTGATAATGATGACAAATTCCACTACCTGCTTCAATGCATGGAAACAGGGTCAGTAGCGAGAGAATTCTTAGAAAGTTTTCCACCATCAGGCGAGAATTATAATGTAGCCATAGAACAACTTAAGTATCGGTTTGCCAAAGATGAAATGATAATAGAATACTATGTGAGAGAGTTACTTAATCTGGTTCTAGCACAGGCAAAAGGTGTACAGAAGGGGTCAATTCGTACATTATATGACGCTCTGACGACACAAATTTTGGCACTCGAATCTATGGGAGTAACCCAGGAGAAGTACTCATCTTTTTTATTACCATTGGTGGAATCCTCATTACCTGAAGATATATTGAAAGCTTGGAATAGGTCACATATTAATGAACGAAATAATGAAAATATTAGGCCATTATCCAGGCTTCTGAACTTTGTCAAGTCGGAGGTTGAATCTGATGAAAGGATACGTTTGTCTCGTTTTAAAACATCTAATAATTATATGGGACAGGATATTTCTATGTCTTCTGCTGCATGTTTGAATATGACAAATAGTAAGGATAAAAAGAAAAGATCTCCTGATAGGAATCACTTTGAGCGTAAAGAAAAGATATGTGTGTGGTGCGATAAGAATTCACATGCCAGTTCAGAATGTGCTACTGCTATTTGTAAAAACTTGGATAAGCGGAAGGAATACTTAAGACTGAATGCGTGTTACATATGTCTTAACATTGGACATTCTGCAAAAAGGTGTAGAAAGTACCCGAAATGTGTTGTATGTACGAAGAGACATTTTCCTATAATGTGCAGTGATTTCAATAAGCCTAATGTGGAAACAAGCACCGCCGGCACGTCACAAGAGTCTCAACCAGGGTGGTATTCCTAATAAAACAGTTTTATTGCAGACTTTGAAAGCAAAAATATGTAACGGAAATGAGAATATTACAGTCAGAGTTCTTTTAGACAGTGGTGCTCAACAAACATTCGTCACTAAGGATGTGGCTTATAAATTAAAACTAAAGGCATGTGACATACAAGAAATGAGTCAAAACTTGTTTGGTGGAACTATTACTCAAAAACAAATGCATAAAATTTACAATTTAACTGTCAAAAATAGTAGTAACATACCTATGATAAAAAAGGGAAATGATATTTTGTCTGTTTTAAAATAAAAAGGTGTTTTTATTTCAGATCCTATAGATGATGTTTCTAAAATAGATTTATTAATAGTTTCTGATTTTTAGGTACCTTGTTAACCGGACGATCAGTGCAGGTAGACGACTATCTCTTCGCAACTGAAACGAAACTTAGGTGGACTATACAAGGCCCCGCGTGTGGTGTGTATTGCTCTTCGTATTCGACTTCTTCTTCAGTATTTGTAAGTGCTCTTACTTGTTCGTTTAATATAGAGGACTTTTGGAATAGAAATAGAAATAGAAATAGAAATAATCTTTATTCAAATAAACTCATTACAAGCACTTTTGAATAGTCATATTTTGATTCTACCACTCATTCGGAATGCAGATTCATCACAAGAAGAATGAGCAAGAAACTTGTGTGTTGCTCTTTTTGATAGATGTTTTTTTTATATAAATAATTACAGTGTAACAAGTAAGAGGCATGCGACAATCAACATAGAAATCGCTACGCACTCATTATTAGTGTAATCAGATAATATTGTCAGTGCTATGTATTTAAAATTTTTCTACAAAAACATTATTATCGTTAACGAATTCTTCAATTTTATAGTAAGCTTTTTTGCAAAGGAAGTGTTTTATTCGACATTTAAATCTTTTTTCTGGCAGATTTATAACAGACTCTGGTATTTTATTGTAAAACCTTACGCAATTGCCATAAAACGAATTACTAACTTTAGCCAAACGACATTTAGGTAAAATCAGTTTGTTATTGTTACGTAAGCTTTTATTAGTGCAATCACTAACTCTTTTGAAACTGTCTATATTCTTCCTGGCATACATGATGTTTTCATAAATATATTGAGAAGCAACGGTGAGGATATTTGATTCCTTAAAGCACTCTCGCAAGGGATTTTTTGATTTGGAAGTTAGAAACGTTAGGTATTATAGATAATGCACAAACCAAAACGGTAACAAGACGCGAGGAGGAAGTAGGGAATTTTTTCAGGGACACCATATGTATAAACGAAGAGAATAGATATGAAGTTAGATTACCATGGAAGGAGACTGGGGATATTTTATCACCTAATTATGAGGTGGCTCTAAAACGGCTGAACACGACGACTGTAAAACTTAACAAAATAGGTTTATTATTAGAGTATGACCAAGTTTTTAATGAGTGGTTAGAAAGCGGTATAATAGAAATTGTAGAGAATGATGACACTCAATACGGTCACTATTTACCACATCATGCTGTGGTTAAGGATAGCAGTCTTACAACCAAAATAAGGCCAGTTTTCGATGCTTCTGCTTCTACTAAGAAAGGTGTCGGTCTCAACACGTGTCTTGAAAAGGGTTCTAATCTAATTGAAGATATACTTCGCTTATTAATACAGTTTAGAAAAGGTGCGATAGGTATAACGTCAGATATCAAAAAGGCCTTCTTACAAATTAGCCTTCATCCTGAAGATTGAGAGTACCTGAAGTTTTTATGGTGGAAAGACGTTAACACGTGATACAAAACGATATAGACCATAAGGAAATATTGGTTTAATTCAACTAAAATGCTAGTAAGATATACATGTTGAAATGTTACAATATGACAAGACAATAAAAAAACAAATCATAGTATTATAAAGAGTTTCTATACTACCACATTCACCCATCCTTATGATTCATAATCATTTAAGTAAA